AAAAAAAAAAAAAAAGCAAAAAAAAAAAATGGTGGAAAATGTTTGCCCACCAAATAGGTGAGAAAACAAAATCAAGTTTTTGTGCATCAAATGATTGTACCTAGAAAAATGTGGAAAACTAATTCCAGGGAAAAAAAGTGTAATCAAACACGACAAAAATACTAAACGGAATTTCAATTCCAACTTGCATGCCTATCAAACAGGCCCTAATTAAAATCGTAATGGAATCCGAACAGCCATTGCTTCAAGAAAATAGGGAATGTAAAAGGGTATTCAGCACTTGGGGGGCGTTTACAAGAGAGCTGAATCAGGTGAATAACATAGCATTTCCGATGATAGTGGTGACACTTTCTCAGTACATGTTGCGGGATGTTGCGGGTTGTTGCGATGATGATGTTGGGGCATCTAGGGGAACTTGAACTATCCAGCGCCTCTATTGCTACTTCATTTACAAATGTTACTGGATTCAGTGTCATTGTAAGGTCCTTCTTGTCTCAACTTTTGATTTTGCTAATGATTGCTACAAGTCATACAATTGATTAGTTTTCCTTTTGTTGTGATTAAAGGCATTCAATAACCGTGAGCAGTTTAGTGAATTTGTAAAAAAATTGTTTTGTGTGTTTTGAATTCAATCCCCTAGCAGTGAATGATGTTTTTCAAGTATAATGTGAGTTCTCAATCTTGAAAATTGGTATTTAGGGATGCCCCAGGCTTTAGTTGATTCTTGTATCTCTTAAGTTTGTCCTCTCCAAGTTGAATTTTTCTTTTCTTCTCCCGGGAATGTAAATAACATTGATTCTATGGCTTTTACTTTCTATTGTTTAGTACTTCTTTATGTGTGTGATGTGATATTCTGTTATCTGTGCAACCTGTTGAATTACGGCCACCAGTTCACGAGTAGATTTCTTCAGAAACCAGAGATAAATCTAACTAGAATCTCTATTTTGGGGCCACCATAATACCAGATTCTGAAATTTAAATCTTAAGCCATGCTACTTATTATATATTAGTAATATATAGATAAGAGGTGAAGATTGACTTTTTATAATGCTAAAGCTAGTTCTTTGTATGGTTGATTCACAACTTATATAATAAAATTGAATCTTCCATGCAGTTTGGTATGGCTGGTGCTTTGGATACTCTGTGTGGATAGGCATACGGAGCAGAGCAATATCAAAGAGTTGGAACTTTTACGTATGGTTCTATTATATGTCTCTTACTGGTGTGTTTACCAATATCTCTATTATGGATATATACAGACAAGCTATTGATATTGATTGGCCAAGATCCTTTAATCTCAGTTGAAGCTGGCAAATTCACTATATGGCTCATCCCTTCACTGTTCCCTTATGCTATTCTTCAGTCTCTGGTTCGCTACTTGCAGATTCAAAGTTTGATTCTTCCAATGTTATTGAGTTCACTAGTATCTCTATTCTTCCATTTACCTCTTTGCTGGGCTCTAATATTGAAGTTAAAGTTAAGAAATGCTGGAGCACCCCTTGCTATTTGTTTGTCGTATATGGTGAATGCAATCTTCCTTGGTCATTATGTGAAATTTTCTTCAGTGTGTTATAAAACCCGTGCTTCTTTGTCAAAGGATGTTTTCCTAACTACGAGTGAATTCTTCCAATACGCAATCCCATCTGCTGTAATGGTTTGGTAATTTCCATCATCTTTTAACTTTTGAATGCGCATATCATTTTGCTCGTTTAACCTTGTAGTCTCATGAACTTTCATAAGTTCCGGTATTTTGCAATTTTAATCTGTAGTTTTGAGTGGTGGTCATTTGAGGCAGTTGTACTGCTTGGTGGATTGTTGCCAAATCCAGAGCTGGAGACATCTGTGCTATCCATATGGTATGCGTATTTTTTGTACATTTTAGACATGTTTGTTAAGGCGGATGGGGGCAGTGTTGAACATTATTAAAGCAAAAAAGAGGAAACTAAAATCTTGTCAATTATAAAATCCACTATGTTCCAAACATATTCTATGTTTACAAATATCAGTGTACGTTTAATTCACTGTTTACTTTTTTCTATGGGCAGCTTGGCAGTTACTGCCTCGCACTTTCTGGTACAATATTCTATTGGTGTTGCTGCAAGGTTGGATCTTAATTTCTTTACTCCGACCGTCTGACATAACTATTATATGATTTGTATCTTGACCATAGCTAGATATAATTATGTATGCACTGAAAACAAGATTATTAATATTTTCTTGTAGCACCCGTGTATCAAATGAACTTGGAGCTGGGAAACCACGAGCAGCTCGAGTTGTTGTCTTTGTCGTTCTGGTTCTGTCGGTCTCAGAGTTCATTATAGCAAGCACCATCATTTTCTTTTGCCGTTATATAATAGGATATGCATTTAGCAATGAAATGGATGTTGTGAATTATGTCAAAGACATGACTCCTTTTCTTTGCCTATCTATCATCATGGACAGCTTACAAGCAGTTCTTTCTGGTAATCTTTCCTGTCTTTATTTAGTTCGATGATTTATAGTGTGCGTGCGTCTTGAGATAGCATCTAGGAAAATTCCCAATTTATCTCTTCCATAACAAGTACAAACGATTGTTAAAGCTTTCCCTTATAGCAAATCTAGTCTTCTCATCCGGTAAGTCATTTCTTGTTTGCTGCAGGAGTAGCTAGAGGTTGTGGGTGGCAACATATCGGGGCATATATCAATCTCGGAGCTTATTACGTTGTTGGAATTCCTGTGGCGTTACTCCTAGGATTTGTTTTGCACTTGAAAGGGGAAGGCCTTTGGAGCGGATTGGTAGCAAGAGCAACAGTGCAGTCTATCTTGCTTGCCCTTGTAACATGTCTCAAAAATTGGGAAAAGCAGGTTTCTATTAAAAAATGTCCCTTCTTCTAGTAAGTTGTTTGTTTCTGCTTCTGGACAAACTTATGGTGGCATGTTTAATTAGGTGGATTAGTTAGAACTGAGCGGTATTAAATAAAAATAAAGTTCATATTTTGTCAATTATACTGCCCAACGAAATTGTGGATAGAACGGGATCAGCTTTATTTTTCTTCATATTTCTTGAGCGAAGTTGTAGAAACAAAAAATTTCTTAGCTAGTTAAATCAATCAAGCTGATGACTAGATTATTATGTGAGGATATTGCAAGCAAAGGAAGCTAAGCGAAGAATATTTGAGGGATAAACTCCAATTTATAACGAACTCGCCTGAGAGAATGAGAAAACTGGCCTACATTCTGATTTTCTTATAGAATAATATTTCAGGAAGCATTGCATTTATATAAGATAGATGCTTCGAATAACCATTGTTGATAAAAGAGAATCAAGAATTTCGGAGAAGAAAGCCTCAGAGATGGTCTGCACAAAAGGAGTTGCAAGATCGATGGTTAAAGCATCAGCATTCAAACCAGATGTTCAAGTGAACTTTGTCGTCTCAATTCAAACATGTACTAACAAAAAATGTGGACCTGCTTTTATATAATATCTTTGCATTATCCTATCTTTTGCTTGGTTGAAGGACCGCCTTGGTATTTACAAAATGGGGGAAATTTAGTAATATCATTTGTATGATACATTTTTATCTCCAAGTGTTGATATTCTGTGCCTTGAAAATTTTTACTTCAAAATACATTTGCGACAACAAAAGGGGATATGCATTTAGGCAAGAAAGTTACAGGACTCGGTTGGTTAGGTCACACAGTTGGGACTTACCTCTTCTAATTCAAGTGAGGAAAAACCTGATACATTTAGTGGTTCTGCCCAAGAAAAGAGGGAAACTTTAGTTTGGAATGACCGTTTGGAAAATTCAGGATACACTCAAATGAACTTTAATGTGTACTTGTTGACAAATTCAGGAATGATAATGCGTATGGTGCATTTGAGTGTATCTGCACTTACATGTCTGTTTTACGTGTGCAAATTTCTTGTAGTATCTATAGAGAATTTGAATATACAGAAGCATACATCTTTTTTTAACCCAACTTCACTTTTCAAACAGCATGATTCCTACTAATTTTCTCTACAATATACCATATTCTTTTGAAGCTGCTGCACGGTCTTCTCTCAAAACAACAAATTTTACTTATATGTCGCATCCACATTCTGCGACAAAAATCATAATCACTTGTAGTACTCGGAACTAGGAGATTGGAAACCTCGGCCAGCCCAAGTTTCTCTATACATTCTGCTGATTCTTTCAACTGCAGTGTCTGTCATAGCAAGCACCGCTATCTTCATTTACCGACACATATTGGGCTATGAATTTAGCAATGAAAATAAAGTGGCTGTTCATGTAAAATAGTTAATCCTTTACTTGGCCTCTCAATAATCATGGACAGTTTACAAGCTAGTTAATTTATAATGTATTTTTCAGTTTCGCCACCCCAAAAATTTTGATTCGCCCCTGCAAAATTTTAAAATTTTTTTTCTATTAATAAATATTGACCCAATAACTTACACTTTAAACTTCAACTATGCAACAATCTTGGATCTAAACAAAAAATCCAGTAGTTACTTAAATAAATAAATAGCTCAAATCCAATAGATGTGTGCCAACTGTTGGCATTGACAAGAAAATCAATGAGTTATAATCTTGTTGATAGGATGATTCGTCTTGTCTTGACTCTTTCAGTTTCAACAACAACTACAGAACGTGCATTTTCATCTATGAGTGTATTAAGACAATGTTGCGTAATAGAATGGAAGATGATTTTTTGTCCAGTACCATGCTTGTGTATATAGAGAAGGAGATTGTTGATACTTTTCCATTAGATTTTCTTATTGACGAGTTTGAAGTGATAAGGATAAGGAGAGACCAAATTCAGATGTCCAAGGCATCTCTACTATCTGTTATATAGATAGGCAGTTTACTTTTTATTTTTTTTCCTGTCCATCTAACGTTCATGTTTTGAATTTGTATAGCGTTAGACACATAGATAGACATATTATTTTTGTATCGACAAATTGATTGTCTTTTTGGTCAGTAAATCTAACTTGCCTATTTTGGTACTCAAAATCGTCGTTTTCAATCCTCTTAGTAAAAAAAAAAAAAATTTGGGGGCGGAGGGGGCCCACTCCCCCAAGATTGAAATCCTAACTACGTCCCTGGAAAGAGATTTTATATTTGATTACAATACGCCATAAGTCATATAGGCTAGTATAAAGCACGCATATCAAGTCATTAGTAAGGCGGTGGAGGGAGGTTCCACGGAGGAGGCTTTTGACGTGGATAATACGGTGGGGGAGGAGGTCCAAGAAGATCTATGTACACCAGCGATGGGGGAGTTAATGATCCAGGAAGTGTTGCATGAGGGGGTGGTCCAAGTGGTAAATGAACCCGAGTTGGAGGAGTGGACCAGGTGGTGAAGGTGCATACATGCCTGGTGCTGGTGGAGGTGGTGCAAAAGGATTCGGAGGTGGTGGTAAATTATATTGTTTTTCATTTTTTTATTATTAGAAAAAATTAATATGATAAAATTCTTTTAAAATTGAAAAGGTGTACAAAATTACAAATTACGATACAATCTATGTTTCATTTTTCTATTAAGAGGGTGTTTGATGCATATTAAAATCAAATTTTAAGTGGATTGTGATAGAAGTTTTTGAAATGTGTGGTTGAAAAGATGTGGGACCCATGAAAGATGTGATTGATATTGATTGTTTGACTTTGACTTAAATTAAAATCGAATTAAAATCTGGCCCAAACAAGGCATTAATTTGTGAAAATGAAGTTGTACCATTATTAATGGAAACTTATGAAATAATGTCCGAAAGTTGGATGAAATAGGACATGATTGTAAAGTGTTGGGAGATTTTGTACAATTTTCTTAGAAATTGATTGCATGCAACCTTTTACAAAATATTGTCCCTAGCTTGCAACTTTTTACAGGCTTTTTTATGCTTGACGGCGGACTCATCGTACTAGTAAACAAATAAGGATGATGCTCCGTACCACTCGTGTTTAGCACCAATTTATTTAGAATCATGCTATATATACTTAGGTGTATACATAGAAGTTGGCATAACGTGAATGAGGTGGGGCCCACACAACACCACGTTACTGTAACGTGGGGCCCCTCTCACATTATGTCAACATCTATGGATTAATCTATGTACACATAGATTAATCCATTTATTTAAGGATTGTGCTATGTATTGGCGTGACAATACACCATTGAACAATTTTAAAAAATAAGCAATTTTTCCTCCAATCATCTTTCAACACTACATCAAATGTCAACAAATGTATACTTAAAAGTGTACATCTAGCATTATTCTAAATAATAATACTCTTAAATGTGTATTATGTTTGCCATGTAAGTAAAGACGATAGTTTCTTGACGTATAATAATGGGAAGTACTTTAACATTAAAAAAAAAAAAACAGAGAGAGAAATTTATTTATCATTAAGTAATAATTTTTAATTTGCTAAAGAATTTTAGTTCGGATAAATTGTTTAAGACAAATAGGATAAAATTTATCCTTTTATCAAGGTTTAAAGTTTCAGTACTAAATAAATAATGAATCCTTCTGGACAACAACGTAAAAATTGAAATGAAATAATTTACATGGTATAATATCATGTAAAGACTTGTGTTGAAATCTTGTCGCGGTATACTTACGAAAATTGTAAAAGTGTTAGATTTTTTATATATATACATGAAAAAGGGTGTGTCAAAGACTATATAAGTAATTAATTAAATAAATATGCCTTTTCTCTAACAATTGTGGCTTTAAATGATAGATTAATATGAATCTTCCTTCAAAATGTCAAAATATGTAACAATCTAAAGAACAAAAAGTTTCAAATCATATAAATTCAACCTCTAATCATTTTAGTGCTCGTTCGATAAAATTTTCAACTCGTTAAACTTCAATTTAACACTGCATTTTATGAGACCCATAGTTTTTATCAACTTTTAACCACACATTTCATCAACTATTATTAGAATCTGTTAAAACCTTTATCAAAAGTTTTATCGCAGAAGCTCTTATTCGCGTTTGTAGGCTCTATCTATATATATTGGAGATAAAGAAAAAAAATTGTTATATTATAAACTTTCAAAGTGGCTTAATCTTAAGTGATCTCATAATTATTCCACCTATTATCTAAATCATTTAATTTGAGTTACATTAACAAAGTTCTTGTCAATGTTCACAAATGCATTTGGATTTATTCTTGTGTTATGATCTTTTAATAACACTCCACAAGTATATAATCATTCAGTAAATAAATCAAAAATCAAACAGAATTTTATTGAAGCTCTGTTCCGACTAAACGTATATTCGTATTGGGCTCACACTCACAAAACAAGAGTCTCTCTAGATTTTCTCACCTGTTTGAATCATATTAAAATTCTCATTCTCATTCTTCTACTCATTTTCAACCACACATTCTTCAATAAAATAATATTTTTCATCACATCAATAACTTTTCCTTCTTTTTCAACTATACATTTTTCATTATCTACTATTCCAAAATATATTCTTCATTGTGTTAATTATGTCCAAAATCTCTGATACCAATTGTTGGGAATTCAAGGATCACGTATTGTTTGATACCACTTAATATGAAACCAGCCACATGATTGAGATGTAAAAATTATATGGCACAATAATGAAGTATTTAATCAGAAGTAAAAGAATAAAAGAAGATAAGAAAATATGGTAGATGAATTAAGAAATTTTATTGTACCACAAATAATGAAGATGGAAAAATATTACAATGATTCTAAAAGTTGGTAATCACTTTTCTTACTTTATTCTCACATCATAAAATTGTATAGCCTCATAGTATAGTTGTTAATGAAATAGGATGCCAAAAATGGAGTTCAAAACGAAAAAAGAGAGAAAAACGCAAAAAATCGGGAATAGACACAGGTGGCGCCATGTCGCCAGGGGCAAAATACCGAACAAGGGCTCTGGCGCCGCTGCATTTTGCCCTCTTCTTTTTTTTTTTCACTTCAAATTGTTTTCTTCATTCCGAACTCTTCTTCAAGTCCAATACCAATTTTCAACTCCCAATGAACTTCCAACATAGAACTTCAACTGACATAGGATTCCAATGGCATTTCAAATTGAATTCTTTTTTATGTACACTTCAATTAAAATTATTTAATAAGGAATTCGGGTGACACCCAAATTCTAACAGAAACATCGCCTTAAGATCCCAAAAACCCTATTGGGGTTTATTGCTCTGTTTTCTAACCTAGCAAAGAATATTTTTAAATAAACCACAAGAAAATGAATATTCAAGATTTTTATCTAGTTTTTGGGCCCTACGCTTCCCAGGTAGTGATATTAGAACCTTCATCAAAGAATTCTTCGAAATGCCATAGAAGAAAATGTTGCAGCCACAACCTCCTCTTCAGTGGAAAGAACTACAGCAAAATAAAGACTAGCAGAGAGAAAATTGATAAGAAGATAATTATATAGGATAATGAGGGCGAAGAGAAATTAATCAAGGTGATGTCAAAGATTGCAAGCGGTTAAATTTTATTTTATTTTATTTTTCTCTGTGCTGTAATAGATAACAACAATTTATGAATTTCATCTCTATAAAACCACACACAAACGTAACATCTACTTGGCATGAGGCATTAGCATGAATTTGAAGAAATATGCATTAATGGAAGAGGGGGTTGAGGGTGATGACAGAAGCATAGAGAGCACAAAGGAGTGAGATGCAGGCCTAATTCATGCACTTCATCATCTGTGCTCTCTATCTTCTGTCAACAACACTCTTACTGCCTTCCATTCTTAAAATATACATATATGAGCTCGATACTATTCCCTAGCCAGAAATGGAAATAAGAATGTGAACTGAAAGAAACAAATTAAAAATGAAAAATAGTGATCACTAAGAAATAATCTTTAATTTGTTAAAGATTTTTAATTTGGATTAATTGTTTGAGACAAATAGGATGAAATTTCATCGTTTTATCAAGGTTTAAACTTTTACTACTAAATATAAATAAATGAATTTTATCCCTTCTGGACAACAATGTAAATATTGAAAGGAAATATTACATGGTATAACATCGCGGAAAAGACTTCTCAAGTCTTATCGTCACATACTTATGAAAAGTGTAAAAGTGTTAGATCTTTAATAAAGACGGTATATAAATGATTTTAAATGATAAGATTAATATGAGCCATCCTTCAAAATGTCAAAATATGTTAAAAAAAAAAAACCTACATGTTTCAAATCAAAATAATATAAATTGTGGATCTTATGAAATGTGTGGTTAAACTTTAATTACTTGGGAAATTATAATATTTTAGTATTTTTTTTATCAAACAAGAACATATACATGTCCACGTGTTATGGATTTTTCAAATACATGTATTACGTATAAAACTCACTTATATGCATTAATTAAATTAATGCTCTTGCATAGTACAAGTAAGCCCCTTTTTTTTATAGCGATCTAGATCTTAATTTAAGTTAAAATAAAAAATCAATTTTAACCACATATTTCATGGGATCCACAACTCTTCAATCACATAGCAAAAATTGCCATGTGGTTAAATTTTATTTTATTTTTCTCTGTGCTGTAATAGATAATAACAGTTTATGAATTCCATCTCTAATTAAAAAACAACACAAAAAATGTAAATTTCTACTTGGCTTAAGGAATTAGTATGAATTTGGAGAAAGAAAAAAAAATGCAAAATGCATTAATGGAAGAGGGGGCTGAGGGTGCGGACAGAAGAATAGAGAGCACAAAGGAGAAAGATGCGGGCCTCATTCATCTACTTCATCATCTGTGCTCTCTATCTTCTGTCAACAACGCTCTCACTGCCTTCCACTCTTAAAATATACAGATATAAGCTTGATACTATTCGATGACAAGAAAGGGAATTAATAAAGTACTAAGTCGACCTTGAACCATCTCGTCTAGCTTTCAGACAAGGTGGTTAAACTTGGTATCATAGCGAGGAATTAAAGATCTACGTGCAAGTCTCCACACCACTTATTGTACACTTGTCCGACTATACAAGCAAAGGACGTGTTGAAGACTAAAACTCTGTTTATGTGGCCAACGTAATGGTTTTGACGGTGTGTCGTTTAGTATAAAATCAGAAGAAGATTAAAACAACAGGGTGAGGGAAGAAGGTGATGACAGAAGAATAGAGAGCACAAAGAGTGAGATACATGCAGACTTATTGTATTCTCATCATCTGTGCTCTCTATCTTCTGTCAACTCATCACCAATACCACTTCATCCTGTTATCTTAATCTCAAGAAAACACTAAGAAAGTTGGGGATCTGTTGGGCGGGGTGGGGTGACTGTATTGTAGGAGAGCGAGGAACAGGAAAACAAGAGAAGGCAATAATGAGAACTGTGTGATTTCAGGGTTTC